TATAGAAATTGGCCAAAATTCTGGGGAAAGCCTGGTCTTATGAGGAGAGATGGTGTCCACCCCACTTTGGATGGAGCCTGTCTTATGGCTAGAAATATTATAATTATTTAACTTGACAATTCAGAGTCGAGACCAGGCAGCAGAGTTGCAGTCCTACACACTTCTCTGTGCTTCTGGATCAGTCACCTACATCTATGATAAAGATGTGTCTGCCCCCAAAACTCAAAACGTCCCCATTAGACAGATAGGAAGGAGAGGAGCAGTCCACAGTAACCTAGTAAAAATCAAGATAACCCATGCCACAGGATCTAAAAATAGTCAAATTAGATGTGGCTTACTAAATGTCAGATCACTCAGGTCCAAATCTCTACTGATCAATGACCTGATTAGTGATCACAAATTTGATTTATTCTGTATAACAGAATCCTGGCTTCAACAGGACAAATTTGTGATCCTAAATGAAGCTACACCTCCAACCCACAGTAATACACATATTCCCCGAAGTACAGGTAGAGGTGGAGAGGTAGCAGCAATATATAACTCTTACCTTACAATCACCCCTCGAGTTAAAGAACATTTTACATCGTTTGAAAGCCTCACCCTTTGTCTTTCCCACCCAACCCTCAAACAACTTAAACCTGTTTATTTAACCATCCTATATCGCCCACCCGCTGTTTATACAGAGTTTCTAAATTAATTTGCAGAATTTCTGTCAGAATTAGTCCTTAGTGCAGATAAAATCATCATCATTGGTGACCTTAACATTCATGTTGATGAAGCACCTTAGAGGTGCGTTTAACTCCCTGTAGACTCATTTGGTTTCAGTCAGCACGTAGATAAACCAACTCATAACTTAAACCACACCCTAGACCTCATACTGACACATGGCATTGATGTTGAGAATCTAGTAGTGATTCCAACCCTTTATTATCAGATCATTTCCTTCTCTCATTTGAATTTATGACTAGCAACTGTACTCAGGCGAGTCAAAAATTCTCCCATAGTCGGTTACTCTCCGATAACAAAATTGATAAATTCAAGGAGATAATCCCCTCTATTTTGCAGCCATGCGTAAATGAAACGCGTGATTATCTTTTCAACCTCGCTCCTGCAGAACTCGATAACTTAGTGGATAATACAACCTCATCACTTCAAACTGTCCTTGATAGTATTGCTCCTCTGAAAAAGATGTTGATTCATCAGAGGAGGTTCACTCCGTGGTTTACTTCTGAAACTCAGACCCTAAAACAAGCAACACGGAGGTTAGAGGGGAAGTGGCGCTCCGCGCTCTTCCTGGAGGAGTAGCCTTGAAGTGTATAAAAAAGCTCTTAAACGTGCCAGAACCTCATATTACTCTAGACTAATAGAGGACAGTAGGAACAACCCTAGGTTTCTCTTCTGACCAGCTGACCAAGAGCCACAGCTCTATTGGACCAAAAATCCCATTGTCATTGAGCAGCAATTATTTTATTCACTTCTTCACTGATAAAATTGAAACTAGAGAAAATTCACCTTTACTCCCCAAAAACTTAGTCACAAACTATGAAAAAAGTGTAGACCTAGACTCACGGTTAGATCAGTTCTCCCAGATATCCCTTTCACAGCTATCTTCTTTAGTCTCATCCTCTAAAACTTCAACCTGCTCGCTGGACCCCATCCCTACTCAGCTCTTTAAAGAGGCTTTCTTAGAAGTCGGCAGCACTGTATTGAATCTAATCAATAGCTCTTTATTAACTGGCCACAGGGTTTAAACTAGCAATAATTAAGCCTCTGCTAAATATGCCTAGCTTAGATGCAGGTATCTTAGCAAATTACAGACCTATATCAAACCTCCCATTTATTTCTAAACTTTTAGAAAGAGCCGTTGTAAATCAGCTGCCCGATCACCTCCAGAAAAATTACCTGCAGAGGCCTATCACTCTGGATTTAGAAGGCACCATAGTACAGAATTAGCACCTTTAAAAGTTTCAAATGATATTCTCCTAGCCTCTGACCAGGGTCTTGTCTCCATGCTGGTCATGTTAGATCTCAGTGCTGCATTTGACACCATTGACCATAACATTCTCCTTCAAATATTAGAGCAAGAGGTTGGTATTGGAGGGACAGAATTAAGCTGGTTTAGTTCTTATTTATCCAATAGATTCCACTTTGTTAGTGTTAATGATGAATACTCATCATACACTAAAGTTAATCATGGAGTCCCACAAGGTTCGGTTCTTGGTCCAATACTCTTTAATTTATACATGTTACCATTAGGCAATATTATTAGAAAACATAACATTCTTTTTCACTGCTATGCAGATGACACCCAATTATATTTATCTATGAAGCCAGATGAACTGAACCATTTAATTCGATTTCAAAACTGTCTTAAAGACATCAAGGCCTGGATGACCCAGAATTTCTTATTGTTAAACACAGACAAAACTGAGGTCATAATCCTGGGTCCTAGGCATCTCAGAGAAACTCTGTCTAACCAGTCGGTTAACCTAGATGATATCCGCCTGGTTCCAAACTCCACTCTGAAGAGTTAGAGTGACCTGGGAGCAGCCATGATCCATGAGAACCTGCTGGACGAGAGAGCACAGAAACTCCGGGGAAGAAGTTTGTTGTGCTCTGCTCCACGTGGCGTCAAAATAATGTTATCATTAATGACTTTGCCTCACACGGAGCACCAAAAATGTTGTGATTATGTACTTTCACTTGCGCGGGGTACGATTATGTACTTTCCTTCAGGCGGGGGCACCATTTAATGATGTGCTTTTGGGCATTCAATAAATGTGACCATCACATTTGCTCCAGGCAGGCCTGCTGGAAGTTGAGGAGCTTGTGTAGGGAGGAAGTCTCCCTGGCTGGGAGAGCAGGGCCAGAACCTACTCCTCCAGGAGTGGTCAGCAGGGGAAGAGGCAGAAGAGAGAAGAGAGAAGAGAACTAGGAGAGGGGAAACTCTGCTTATATTGGCCTTGTGACCTCATGGGTCATGGGACACACAGTGACCAATAGTGGTTGAAAGTTATCTCCAGGAGCAGTTTTACCACCTATGTGTGAAGATGAAGCACCCTGGGAGACTGAGTTCTAGAAGCTCTCCTTTATCTCCAGAACAAAGGAGACATGCCGTCAGGCTTTTGACAACACGTGTAGGCCCAACTATGGTTCACAGATACCAGGTCCCAACAAGTTTATTTAGTAACATGCATTAGCATGCATTAATGAGACATGTATGTTTACAGATGGTGATGATAATAGAGAGAGAGAGAGAGAGAGAGAGAGAGAGAGGGAGGGAGGGCGGGTCCCCCGGCAGTCTAGTCCTATAGCAGCATAACTAAGGGATGACCTGAGCCAGCCCTAACAATAAGCTCTATCAAAAAGGAAAGTCTTAAATCTACTCTGGGTCTGCCTCCCAAACCCAAAATGATAGTTTGTTCCACAGAAGAGGAGCTTGATAGCTGAAACCACAAGGAACCCAGCATTCTGAGAGCGCAGTGTTCTGGAGGGGTAGTAAGGTACTATCTGCTCTTTTAGATATGATGGTGCCTGCCCATGAAGAGCTTTGTATGTAAGGAGAAGAATTTTAAATTCTATTCTAGATTTAACAGGTAGCCAATGTAAAGAAGCCAAAATGGGAGAGATGTGATCTCTGATCTTGGTTTCTGTTAGAACACGTGCAGCAGCATTCTGAATTAGCTGCAAAGTCCTAAGAGACTTATTGGAGCAACCTGATCACAAAGAGTTACAATATTCCAGCCTAGAAGTAACAAATGCATGGACTAGTTTTTCTGCATCTGCTTGAGATACAACGCGTCTAATTCTAGCGATGTTATGTAAGTGGAAGAAAGCAGTCCTTGAAATTTGTTTTATGATCCCGTCTAAAGTAACCAAGTCTCTAGAAAGAGAGTTTCTGAGGTTTTTGCACAGTGGTACATATTGTGATCATCTGACTCTACAAAGAGCATCCACCATATTCAATGTGCAGTTTATGATAGTATCAACACTAGGTGTCGATGCAACAGCAATAGTATCCCCTCGTGGTCACTATGAGGAAAGTAATTTCATGCTGAAGGTCGTGGGGACCATTATGTGAGTCTTCATGGACCAGTCAGACCATTGATAAAAAGAATACAGGATGCAGAGAAGCAGAGGGTACTTGTTTATAACCCTGACTCTGATCAATATTCAAACCCTGACTCTTGACCACCATTCAAACCCTGACTCTGACCACCATTTAAAACCTGACTGTCACCACCATTCAAACCCTGACTCTACCATTTAAAACCTGACTGTGACCACCATTCAAACCCTGACTCTACCATTTAAAACCTGACTGTGACCACCATTCAAACCCTGACTCTACCATTTAAAACCTGACTGTGACCAACATTCAAACCCGATTGTGATTCGACACATATCCTCTGGATGGTTCCATATAACCAACATATATTGGAAGAAATAAAGTTTTCTTTTTTTCAAAATCCGATTCACCTTTAAGCCCCTGATCTGAGTGATCACGGGCAGTGCCTGACAAATGGAGCCCTGGACTGGATTTTTGTTGGCTAACTATAATTTTTGATTATGTATTATTTATGCATATTGTTTAGTTAAATTTGGACATATGTTTTTTACTTGGGTGTCCTGACAGACTGTTTTTACAATTGAAGAACTTCTGAGCTGGTTCATGTTTTGTATGACCCCCCCTTTGTCTGTTCTATAAGTATATAGCCAGTATGTAAGACTACTGCTCTTTTGTTATTGTATGTTTCTAAAACAGTAACAATAAATGATCTTGTTTTAAATTAATAGCTCGTGATTGGTTCTTGTTTCACAAGTTCCAAAATAAAGTAGATTGAATGAACATGTTATGCTGCTTGTATCAAGTATTTAATGTAAGTAGTAGGAAAATGATTAAAAGCAATTATTAAATTGGCATTAAAGACCAACAATAAAAAACTTCCTCAGGCTGTATAGAAGGAAAGTGTTAACTTACTTATTCAAAAAAGAACTATCTTAAATGTGTTTTTATTATAAAAGTTATTGTTTCCTGCATTTATTGTAGCAATAGCAAACAAAGAAAATGCTCTTCCCTAATCCACCCTATTACTGTAGTGCCACCTATGTACAAATCATAGACAAAACACAGACCTCTCCCCATAAGTGAATTCTTGTAGTCAGTGTGCAGGTATGGCCGTTATACCTTGGACTTAATGCTCCACCACGTTTTGCAGAAATTGTGTGATTCTGATTACATACAGACAGAAAATTACAAGAATGGCAAAGGTAAACATGGTGATAATGCACTTTTCTCACACTATAAGCCATTGTTACATTATGCGTAATAGACGTTATTACATTATGCGCTCATGATTTTATTACATTTAAGTTATTACATTATGAGTTGCTACAAATACTACAGACTACTACACTACTAACTAAAGAAAAAGAACAGGTCACACAAAATACTATTTCATTTCAGGCCTGGCCAAAAGGTTTGATTTAAGAGAATGATTTAAGAAAAAAGAAAAAAAGAAGCAGTTACACTTTAATATACCACATACTGTTGTATTTAGTATGTGTGGAATTTTGTTGATAAAGGTGTCACATGGGGGGAGGATTGTTTTCTCAGGATTTTATTGGTTTCATTTTAAAAACAAGGAACACTTAGTGAAGCCAAGATTACAGATGTTGAGAAGTTAAAAAAAAAACTGCAAAGAAAAAAAATGTCATTTTCAAATATTACTACTTTAAATATTTTTTTGTTGTTGAAAAAATTGTATTAACTGGTACTAGAATCTTGCTCCCTTTGATGAAACCTCTGAGTTTACCTTTTGAATGATACTTGAACAAAGGATCAATGGGCATCTAAATATGAATACAGACTAAAATAAATGATTAAATGGGTTTCTTTAGGAAATGCAGCAACACAACTCTGAATACTGTCACTTCCATATGTGCTAATTCTTGTTGCTGTCACCATTTTCAACAACTTTGCTCTTCTTCTCCTGTGTTGTTGCTTTGAAGATGTTGGCTCTGTAGTACTGCAGCTCTTTAATGCTCTCCCGAATGTCATTCAAGGCCCTAAAGGAGAAAAAAAGGAAATGTGAATGAATTGCTTTTGTCATGCATGTTCTTCTGAACCTTCTTCAGAAAATTAAAATTAAAGGGTAATTTTGAGTAATTTCAACTCTTTTTGCAGGTTTTCAGATCTCTTGGTTNATGTACTTACCCAGTTAATTATTAATCATGCTAATTTTACTAAAGAATAAGTCTGATTAGGCAAGATACCTCAGCAGACAGGTTGAAAGTTATTATGTTGTTAAACTGTAAAATTACCATTCCTTGTAAACATTCATTACCGTTTATGGAGCCGCTTATTGCTTCAGCATTGACCACCTGTGTTTATTCTATTTGTGCAGTTTTTTCAGACTTTTTTGTTTAAACAAACAAAGAATCTTTTCTCTATCATACATCACTGTCTTGCCCAAGACTTCAATACGCTCTCTTGTTTGTGGACAACCAGCTCCATCACCTGAGCCACAGCCGCATATCGTACAAGAGACACATTCTGGGCCAGATGTCAATACCAGATCTGACTCTCACCACCTTTAACTGTGTTTTCCTCAGGATTCAGAATGCAGCTGAAGTTCCTAATTAAAATGCAGCAGAATCATGAATGAGAAATTAATTTCATATGGGTGTGAATCGCGATCACAATTTTTTTACAATTAAATGTAGTCTGACGATGCTCCCATCCATTTCCTGTCCCATCCCTATTGTGCTCAGATACAAGACCTTGAGATACCTTAATTATTTCACCTAAGGCAGCAGCTCACCCTCATCCAAGGTTTCTGGTGGGCACTGCCTCTCACTCGATGTCAGCTAAGATTGGCATTTCATCCCACTGTTACCCTCAAAGAATAGGCAGTTTAGCTAATGGATGATGCTAAATACTAAAATAATAAACCAAAAAAACAACGTAAACGTACCACACTGCAGTTGTATGTATCCAACAAGTGCGGTTTCATGTGTAAATATTTCTACATACTTTTTCCCAAAGATTCATATAAGGTCACTTGGACCACTGAACCGTAATCAATTTATCTCAGTCCAGATTTAAACTGATCAAAAGTTGAAGAAATTCCCTCATGCAGTCTTAAGATATCACATTCAAAAGGTGTCAAGAACATGTTTTTTGTGACCTTTACCTTTGACCACCGAAATCAAATCAGTTTATCAGTAAGTCCAAGCGAATTGTACCAGATTTAATCAAATTTCCTACCGGCAGTTCAAATACATCACATTTACAGGGACGTGAGTTAACTGTGACCTTGACCTTTGACCTCTAGGCACCAAAATCAAATAATTGAATTTGAGTCCAAGTGAATGTATTGTACCAAATTAAAAGACACTCCCTCAAGCTGATGTTAAGATATCACATTCAAGAAAAACATAAACATACTTGACTGTGACCTTGACCTTTTGGCAACCAAAATCTGAAAACATAATCCCTCCCGTCACTGGCTGTCGCCATGGCGGAGGCATAAAAAAGAAGGGTGTCTGGAGGAAAAAAAACATCTCTTCTTGACTCATCTTTGCAGATGCTGCAACAATATGAACCTATCATTATAGTTTAATTAAATGTGACAGTTTATTGAAGATTTTTCTAATCATTTACCTGTGGGTGGCTTTCTTTTCAGGTGCCATCCTGTATTCCTCTGGAAACCACCGTCTGTAAATGCCCGGGCCAAAACCAATCCCATATTAATTTTCTGCATTTAACTTGTCATGCAGAGGGTGCCATACAATTTTTCCATTTCCTAATGTACTAACAAGCACAAACACTAATCTCTGAGTGTTGGTATAATCAGAAAACCTACCTGCGATGCAATATTACAGTGAGCCTTTGATACTTAAACCAATGGACCATGAGACTCAATGGTCAAACTCAAACAAGGCCTGGCGTTGTCACTTTTTACTTGAAATTTGAGGATTCATTCGAATGTGGTGGGGTTGGGTTTTGATATTTGAACTGTATTTACCTGTTTGAAAACCAAATATACTATAAATATACACTCTAGAAGTGCAAGTGCATTAGAGTGTCTGAAGTAGTATGAATACATTAGAACAAATTCCGAATCATGTCAAAGTCAGTTGAACTAGATTTTTGTGAAAAGTGACAGTCCTAACAGGGTCTTAATCAGATGAGCAAGGAAAGTCCCCAATAGGCATGCCAAATAGGCTGGAAAAAATATATTGTATTTATTATTTAGTGTTTCCGTATCATTAGGCTTCTTAAAGAGGACAGGCGATAGATAAATGTGAATTCAAGTATTCAAATGCTTTTTTCAGACATACTGATACAATATCATCTGAACAAATACAGAACACTCAGAAAAGGGTAGAAAGTCAAAGCTAAGGAAGTTTTCATTACTTTACACAATAAACCCCAAAAATCACACTGGCCTGCAAAGCTCCTTGATAGTGCTGACATCAATGATTCTGTAATGAAGGTGGTACATAAACTGTGACATGTACTTTTCCAGAAACCTCTTGTCTGCATGCACAGAGTTACCTGCAGGGAGAGAAACCATTGGACATGAATGTAGAAGCCATACCAGTTGAATAACATCACAGTTCTGCTGCTGCTGCCAAAAAGAACTCACCAGCAAGTGGACACTGTCCAGGTGGGGTGTGCTGTCGGACAAAGGACAGGAACTCATACTCTGCTTGTTCCAGGGTGATTTTACTCTCCCGTACAGCCTGCGTCAGTCCTGACTACAACACAATGACACTGGCTGTGTACATCACTTAAAACTTAGGGCTGCTGCATTTGATGATTTTAGACCTGATATGCCAAGTTAGTTCCGAGTATGTATCCAAATAATCCTGAAGTGTGAGGGATTTGCAAAATAGTCTTCATGCTACTGATTCAGTCGGAGCCTCCCCAATTTCGAATCGTAAATGTTAAACATCAGCTCCGATAGAGATCCACAGGAAGCGTCAGCAACCAGATGTTGCGTAGTTGTACAGCTGCAACTAAAAACAACAATACATTTCCAAATCCTCTCCAGCTCGTGCTGCAAAATGTATAAACCAATTCTGCCTTCTTAGCCATGATTTCATCCCCAAAAAATGTTTCGTCATTTTTCGCTGCAGAACAGAACACACAACGTTCACAAAGTCACGTTCAATCATGTGAGGGTTCCACACTCTAGTTCAGCAGGGGGCAGTAATGCACCTAAAAGAATTTTGAGAGTCTCCAACATTTTGAAAATTGTTCGAGTTGAAAATCCTTCTGTGTATAGCAGCCTTTTGATGCAATTCAGACCTCGTATTAACATAAATCCTAAATGATCTGCTCATTAGTGGTCAGCATTAAGTACAGGTGGGAACATATCGAAATGCATTCTCAATACTTTCTGAGATCCGGTCAGTTAAACCACATTAAGAGGTGGTCTGGAACCCATGTGGCCACATTCTTTCTGCTTTGTGAACGTAGATGCGTCCTGGGCCTCATATAAAGGACGCCTTTCAGCTGACGTCCTCTGTTCTGTTTCACTATGAATCAAACATTTTTACACTCCCCATACATTGATTTGTTTGTAGAGACCATGACAACATCAACACTGATTACCATGTAATGATTGATACTTTCCTGTGCAGTATCATGGGTGATGTGCAATAATATTATATTATCCTGGTGTGCTAGACTCATTTACTTATGATCTGTGATTTCTTTTAACTGTTTTTATTGTTTGTTTCTTTTTATTGTCTCTTTGTACCACTGAGAGAAGTTGCACTTAAGTTTAGTTGTAAAGCTGTCCATTGAAATAAATGCTTGAATTGAATTAATCTGGTAAAATCTTTCTTCATAGCAGTGCACATTAATTCAATCGGCCTCACATTTTTTTTCTGGCTTGCACTGACACACAGGGATACACACACTTTACACAAATGCTGGGGTATGATTAACATTTGCAACTCATATAGAACTGTGAAATACTGTATATGTCCCCTGTCTGATATTCTATCCACTTTACTTCAAGCCCCTGACTACATAGAAAGCTTACTTTTCCATGATGCTCTTTACACCACTCTGACATCCCATCAAGCAACTCATCCTGCTGGTTAATTATCAAGTTGGGCCCCTGTCAATCGAAAACAAATACATTTAATTTACAAGGCAGTTAGAAGACAAGAGGCAGTTCATGGGTGTTAAGGTTTAGGTTACCTCAGCCAAAATGTTCAAGTCTGAGTCTGTAATAATGCATGCCATTTCAATGATCTGGTCCTTCTCGATGTCGAGACCGGTCATCTAAAAAGTACACACAATAAACACAAAGATTGAGTCGTCATCTATTATCTTTGCATGCAGACAGCGTATGTCTGAATACATGTCAGATATGTCAAATATTTTGAGAAGCAAGCATGAAGGAATGAAAACAAATTACACAGATAGCAGATTTCTTGTTGGCAGTTCCTTCCAACCAAAATGTGACCTTTAAGTCTGCTCATATACATTGCACTGTCAAATAATGTTTAGCAATGTGACACTGTAGTTGACAGCATGTGCAGTGTCTTAAAATTAAAGGAAACATTACATTGTGTATGTATTTTTAAGTACAGCTAAAATCATATTAAGCTATTCCATTTAAATAAACTTTTGATTTTCTACTGGAGTTAAAGTGAGTGTTAAGAAGCATATGTTAAACATTTTTAAAAGGCATGACAGCATATCACTCTGTATGCAAAACAGATTATGTTGTAAGCCTTCTTCTGGAAACAAATGTCAAGGCAGGAAGGCAAAACGTAGACACATTTCGTTACAATTCGCTTTTGTGGCTTGTAAATTTAAGTTACATTTGGTTCTGTCTTCCACATCAGTTAGTTACACACACGCCAGTAATTAATAAATTGACGCAACACTTCAATCATATCATTGGTACAGCCTTAGTTAACGTCAAAAAGAATGTTGAACGGCTGCGGTACCCATCCCAGTGACTTGCCTCCAGGTCAACCCATACCATTCTCTGGGACATCGCGGTGGAGGACATGCTGGTTTTTCTGGACACTTGAATGTAAAATCCAAATCTGTAACAAATGCCGGATCCTATTTCCGGAGCGGTGGATGAGTTTACAGTGCTCAATGGTACGCTTCTCTGCAAAACACTGTGGCTTAAACTACGCGCTGCCCTAATATACGGAAAGATGACCCGCCTCATGAAGAGGAATTCTAAAGGTGGCAAGAAGCCTGGCTGCCCACATGTATACATGAACTGTCGTAAAAATGCTAACAGTCACGTCATTGCCGTCTTCTTCTCTGGATTGGGCAGACTAGACACTTCGGTTGGGTTTCGCTGCTCTCTACTGTTTGTTACACAAATTGCACCAGTATCTTCATTTTGTTCCAATCGTCCAGGTGGAGTAAAGTTTGCAGGGTAAACAGGCTCTCCACTAGATCTTAAAAGAGCTTCTTCCTTTTAATTGAGTAATTTTTGTGATTTTTTTCAGAGCCAACCCACCGCTATGCCCACAATGGACAACCTGGTTGGAATTGAATTTGGATTTGAATTTCCCTTTGACAATTATAAATAATTTTAGCTTTTTCCACTGTTGGATGGAATTTAAAGTATGAACTCCCCTTCTTCTCTTCTTACCTTCCCATTTTTCTTTGCTCACCTCAACCATTCAAGGCAGGTGGCCGCCCACATTGGGTGTGGTTCTCTAAGAGGTTTCTTCCGGTTAATGAGGCAGTTTTTTCTCTCCACAGAGATTCTATATCCCTATTTAATTATTTATTCGGGAATGGAAACTCCAAATACCACTTTCCCACTCACTGGATCTTTCGATCTATCTGTATTACTTTGTAAATGGGATTGCCACTCTTGCTTTGACAAACATAATTTCTTCCTCATGTTATTATTCAGGATGCGTAGATGAACTTTAGGACCTGGTATGATGAAACAACTGACCAACAAGCTGAAGACACTAAATCCTTTTTCATTTTTTGAAATTATTTAACTTACATATTTGCTCTATCTTTTCTTTCTTATCTTCTGTTATTTACCGCCTCAGTTCCATTAAAGTGGAGGACAGAAACTGATCATATCCTCTCCTCCTCCGTCTTCTTCTTTTCTGTTTTATGGCGGGGGGCAACCATCATTAGATGCATTATATCCACTCATCCTGTTGGAGTATGGACCAGAGTCATCTAAACCCCTTAAAAGTTAACCGGGCAGTAAATCATTCTTTAAAATAATTGAATTGATCTGATGGTAAATAATTTTTTTAGAAACAGCCAGTCCATTGCAAGCTTCCTGATTTCCCTGTTGCTTACAAATTCTACTTTTGGCAGGGAAGAATTATATGCTTTACTGATTCTTCTGTTTGACAAAAATCACATAATCCTGATGCTTATTTATCAAATGCATTACTTTATTAAGTTTGGCATGTCCTAAGCCTGTAAAGATCTTGTATCTCAGCTGCCATTCTTTCATTACGTTAGCTTTGATTATTGCTTTTGCTTCAGATTTAATGAGAGAAATGTCCATAATCTCCTCAGAGTCTGCCTTCACTGGTACTTCAAAAAAATGAGGGAATGTTTTGTTTCATAGTGGCGATGGATATTATATTCTTTTGAAACAACACTCTGTCTGCAAATGAGGAAATACTGCAGTCAAATTTATTTCTGTAAAGAAATAGTCCTTCTGACATTTTTTTTTTTTGTGTGCCACTGCCTCATTCGCTCCATCATTTTCTTAACTGGCTCGTGATGTTGTGGATCTTTGCCAACAAAATGTCACTGTGCCCCACAATTTCCTTGAGAGGCTTCGGAGCAACACATAAGGAAAATTTGAGAGCACTTGGGGCCCAATTTACAGGCACCTTAACTTTCCTGAATGACACTCCAAATTTTGCACGACACCCATTCTGGCTATTCCTCGCCATATGCTTTATTTTTTATTTACTGAATGATTTATTAGTATAGGCTGTAACGCTATAGCTTCTCTCTGTGGAGTTTTTTTCTTTTTTTGTACTTTGTGATTATTGTGTTTTATGCTTTTGTTTGTATTGTATGTTTCTTTTTTTTTCTGTGTGAAGTTAAATATAATTAAAAAAAATATTACTTTGGTGTTTAAGTGCAAGCATTATAACTTCAAATCAGACTTTATTGTCATTTTACCAGACATACAACAGTAGTGCAGGCAGAATGAAATGACATTTCCCTGGGATCATGATATAAGATTTAAAAAACTAAAGGATATCACACATACAAATACAAAATTAAAAACACACATTGTCCCTGAGTCCCATCTATTGTTAATGTAGTGATAAAATGTCCACCTTAAAAGACCATGTAAAATTAAAATGCTACGTAAAATGTTGCATTTTTAAATTGTAAAATATAAAGTTGCTGTAGAGTGTGTGAGTAAAGTGCAAACTCAATGCAGAAAGTCATGTGGTTAGCAGCCTAACAGCCTGTGGGAGGAAGCTGTTTAGTTGTCTGGCAGTTCTTGTTTCAATGCTCCTGTACCATTTGCCCGATGACAGCAGTTTATAGGGGGATGTAAGGGGTCTCTAACAATGTTGAGTGCTGTGTTCCGGCACTGGCTCTGGAAGAGGTCATGGACAAAGGGTAGGGAGACTCCAATGACCTTCTCAGCCCCCCTCACTATCCTCTGCAGGGCCTTTTGTCTGACACGCTGCAGCTGGGATGCCAGGTTGAGATGCAAGATGTCAGCACACTCTCCACCATGCCTCTGTAGCAAGTAGTGAGGATGCTGGTTAGAAAGTAATGTTTGTTTAAGTTTCCTCAGAAAGTGCAGCCTCGGCTGGGTATTTTCCCAATCCCAGTGATGTTCTTTGACAAGGTGAGGTCTTCAGAGATCTGTACGCGGGGGAACCTGATATCCTTCACTCTCTCCACTATAGAGCCACTGATGCTGAGAGATGTGTGCTCAGGCTGTAACCTGAAGTTGATCATCATCTCCCTTGTCAACATGAGTACCAGGTTGTTATCTCTACAACAGCCCTCTAGATGTTCAACTTCCTCCTTATACATTGTGCCCTTGTTTCTGCATATGTGTCCCGGTATTGTTGTATCAGTCGCAGACTTGACAATTAGGTTCCCCTTTCGTGTGGCTGCAGTCATGTGTAAGCAGTGTAAACAGCAGTGGGTTGAGTATAGCCTTGATAAGATCCAGTGCTCAGCATGATTAATATGAGGAATTTTGGTGCTAAAAGCTGAAAAAGTTCATTTTATCAGAGTTTAATAGGAGAAAATTTAGTCCAGCTTTAGTCTGTTGATGACTTTGTTCTGGTTTCATTGATAAGTAAAGCTGGGTATCATACGCACAGCAGTGAAGATGTTTCCTAATGGATGTGGAGCTCTGGAATACAGAACCCTGAGGAACCCTGTGATTAAATTTGGTCAACACAGATGACTCATCCGTGTCCATGGCGTGGCAATGAAATTCGATGTCTTCACATGCAACCTTAAGTAGCTGTAACTTTCATGTTTTAGCTCCAATTACTTTTAAACTTCATATGTGTGATAAGGATACAGCCCAGAAGACAACTATTTGCCAATATTCTATAATATTCACAGCACCCCCTCACGTGTTACACTTTAACATGCTATAACTAGCTTTTTCTTTTGATCTTCTAATTCTAATTGTACTCCGTCAGATTTAATCCAATCAACTTCACATTTCTTTTTTATAATTAGGGATTTTTTTGACAAAAAGATAGATTTTCGTTGAGTTTGTCAGGGGGTGGGGGTGGGGCTGTGGCATGGTCATGAATTCTGAATTCTGGTAATTTGGTGAGAGCCTAAAGGAGTTGTGGTGAAATTCCATTTCATGGAGTGCATCTTCAAGTAGCTGTACCTTCCATGTTTTTGCTCCAATCACTGTCAAACTTCATATGAGTGATTAAGTCACGCCCTAAACTCATTTTTATGCAAAAATACATTATTAGTCACAGAGCTCCCTATTTGGACAGGAAGTACAATGTTTGATACTTTGACATGCTACGACTTGCTTTTTCATTTGATCCACCTCAAAATTGGTCATGCAAGCCTTGAGATGCTGGTGATGCCATGTTCTGACACTTAAGCCTTTACATTGAATGACTTTGGACGTGACCTTTGATGGAATGCCAACAAACAGTTAGTGGTTGTAACGTCACTGCACATGCTCCAATCTGCCTCAAACTTGACATGTACAATGAGAGTCACCACATTAACACAACCCAAGGACTATATTTGACAGCTGAGGAAGAATGGCTCAACGCCACCAAGTGGAAACTGGAATTAGTCCCTCTGCTTCAAATTTCATTGGAATAAGCTAATTATTCCAATTCCAGACCTCGTAGTCTCGTTGGTCAAGACATGGCAGCCTCTGCATGGTCGTGTCACTTCCCCACCAGGCATGGGCCCGCTCATACATGCTTGCAAGTCTAGTTATGTTATTATTCTTGTCATCTTATACTCTTTTTGGTGTGATTGCACAGGTTCATTCAAAAATATTCATGAAAAGAAAACAAGATAACAGTGCAAATAAATCAAGCTGCTTATATTTGCACAAACAAAATTTATTAGGCCATATGGTAGACATGTTCACATAGACTCTGAAGGTGTTTGACATGCAACTATTTCAACTTCTATAAGTCACTATAGGGAAGTAACCATATTTACAGATTTTCTTTGATGACCCACTTTGTTTCAATTTTGTGCAGTGTCTTACAAATATGTTATGAATACACTAATATTAAAAGTATAGATACAACTATCCTACCAAGCCTTACAGTATGTCAAATGCTGAAAGTTGACGGTGCATGTTGATACACTGAAAAACCAATCAAAGGTGGCAGAATTTCAAGAGCACATCAATATAGTGGTCACATATAAAACAGTTCCTCAGATAATTTAAGAGGAGATCAATGGTCATGTTACTGCAGTATTTAGGATGTGCTATTATTCCTGTTTCTCATTACACAACACATCAGTGTGCACCTTATAGTGTACTGGTCACTGGAGAACTTCATTAACAGCTGTCTGAGCATATGGCACAGGAAATTCCAGCTTCTCACACACTGTCAGCTTCAGGGATAAGTGCTGGGCGATCTCATTTGGATCAGTGTACAGTGCAGCAGGGACATTCTGAAAGAGAGAGTAACATTTGTTAAAATTACAACACTGAATAAAGAGCTGGAACGTTTAATTATTCCACAAGAATTTGAATTCAGATTCTGTTACCAAAGGCTTTCATAAAATTTGATAATGAATTAAAGTTTCATTTATAATGACTGTCAATCACCAAAATAAGACTTTAAATTTAAAGTCATGGTGCAATAGAACATTTGTATGCGAATGCTTTACAAAAAAAACTTTGGCCGCCCTGATAACCAGTACAATAGAATAGGGCTTGACAGTTGTTTCTATATTTCGTTATACTCCATCGACGGTGATATGTTGTGGTTTCTCTCTTGTGACAAATGTTCTCATTCTTATAAGTCGCTTTGGACAAAAGCGTCTGCTAAATGCCCTAAATGTAAATATAAATGTAATAGAAGGTTATCACCCAGCTCACTAAATTCCTGTACTATGATCAGAATTTGTGGTTAAAGAGGTATCTTCCAGTTAGTCAGTGAGGGCTTCTAGGGCTGTCTAACTGTAAAATCATCCAATGCGTGATGATCTGTTCCAGATTTCTGAGCCCTTTATGCACACTTTCCATAATTCTGCATTTCTGTAAATTTTGCCAATCGGAATTACCCATGGTGCAAAGCCTTGTGACATGGGTATACAAACATAATGACAGCCTAAATATCTGACAAGCAAACAACAACAGCGTGTGCCTTAGGAACAGACTACATATAGCATTTCTAGGGTTCACTTCCTATGTCATATGTACAGGCACATTAAGCGCCATTCACAAATTAGAGAACACCCTCAAACGTTTGTTTGTGTGTGCTCTTTCTCTCCAGGCTCTGCACCTCCTCCTTCTTGCTCTTCAGTTCTTAACATCATTAGGACCTGGAGCATAAAAACCCTGTATGCTCATTGGCCCTTTTCTATGGCCATTTGACAGCTGGTGTGCATGTGTGCTTTTTAACTAGGCTGTTTTAGAGTGAAACCAGTAAGGTTATACCATTTCGAGAAGATGTTTAAGTTCAAAGTGTTTTTTTGTCATACATACACTCCTGTACAATGAAATTCTTTCATTGCCTTCCATGCTTTTGAGAGTTACTAAAAAAGTAAGAAAACTATAAAAATGCTATAAAGCATGGTAAACATGGACTTGTTGAGTCTGTGCAAAAACTCACTTGTGTGCAGTTTGGCTACAGTATTGGATATGTGTGTGTGTGTGTGTGAGGGAGTAGAGTGAGTAGAGGTAGAGGGAGTAGAGNAATTGTAGTTTACAGTACAATAGTAGAGGACATGTGGGTGGAATGGAGAGTTTGGATAGGACCGTGCTGCTTAATGACGGGTGAGAAGGGGGGGGTAGGAGTCAGAGTAAAGACTCTATTTCCTGAGGATCTCAGCTTCCTCAGGAAATAGAGTCTGTTCATTCCTTTCTTGTAGACAGCATCGATGTTGGTTTTCCATTTCCATGTCAGTGTGGACACCCAAGTACTTGTAATCCTCAACTGTCACAACATCCTCTCCCAGAATACGCAGGGGCCGTGAAACCTTCCTCTTCTTCCTGAAGTCAACCACCATCTCCTTGGCCACATTCAGAAGCAGCAGAAAGGCAACCTCTGCAGAGTCCAGACTCAATTCTCAGAGGTCATGTCTGAAAACTGCTTATGTCTGACTTTTACTCCTGGGAAGGATGTGTCTGAAGGATGTGAAGGATGATAAACTGTCTTTTTTTTTTTCTGCCATAGGCCTGGATGGACTTCAAGGCTGCTTAACGGTGTAGGTTTTATCAATGCTGTGTCTTTTGGTGGTCAGTCTGCTGCTAAGGTGAATAATAACTGTTCTAAATCCTTCATTTCTAACAATTACAGTCTGGCCCATAAATATTTGGACAGTGAAACAATTTTTGTAATTTTGCCTCAGTAGATAACCACAATGGATTTGAAACAACAAACAAGATGAAATCTAAGTATAGATCGTATGCTTTCATTCAAAATATCAGACCATTTCTGAACATAAAGTGTAGTTTCCCTCAAAAGTGATTGGACAATTGTTGGATTGGACACAGTTTCAGGTGTGGCCTGCCTAATTCAGGACAAATTAAGCAGATAAAAGATCTGGAGTTGATTCCAAATGTTGAATTTTTATTTGGTAGCTGTTATTGGGAAGTCTCAATATGCCATCCAAAGATGTGTCGATGCAAGTGAAGAAGGCCATAATGCGGCTGTAAAAATAAACCTAATCTATCAGACAAATAAACAATTTGGTTAATTCTTAAAAAGAATAATGCAACAACAAAAGGCCTGGAAGACCACGGAAGACAATTCAAGTGGCTAATTGCAGCATTCTTTTCCTTGGTGAAAAAAGCCTTCACAACATCGAGCAAAGTTAAGAACACTCCTGAGGAGATAGGTGTATCATTGTCAAAGTCTGTGATACAGAGACGCCTTCATTATTGTAAATACAGAGGGTTTACCACAAGGTGCAAATCACTGTGAACACTCAAGAGGCTAGAATAGACTTTACCAGAAAACATCTAAAAATGGCGGGTTCTGGAACAAGATTCTTTGGACAGATGAAACCAGGATTAACTTGTACCAAAACAATGGGAGGAGAGGAGAATGGAGAAAGAAAGAAAGGAACTGCTCATGATCCAAAGCATACATCATCTGCCAAACATGGTGGAGGCATGTATGGAAAAGGCAGGACGAATTCTGAAGTGTATAGGGCTATACTACCTGCACAGATTCAGTCAAAGGCTATGCAAGTGATAGGACGGAGATCCACAGATAGATAGTGACCCAAAACAAACTGCGAAACCAACCCAACTCAAGGCCGAGAAATTGAATATTTTTCAATGGCCGAGCCAGTCACCTGACAGTAACACAATTAAGGAAGCTTTTCACATACTTACAAGACAGAACTGAAGGCGGAAAGTCCCACAAACAAGCAGCACCTGAGGATGGCTGCAGTAAAGGCCTGGTAAAGAATCTCAAAGGAGGAATTTTATTGGGTGTGTGGACAGCATCGACTGCAGGGGAGAGAGATCGGAGGTGCGGTACAGGGAAAGGTGCCAGGGAGGGAGCCTTGTCCACAGGTGGTCTGTTTTGGCTAGTCACTCACTCAGAATTATCAGCAGTAGCGTGCTGGGGCCACGGTGCCTACTCACAGAGACTAATCTTGACTGTTGGGCAATGCTGTAAACTCCTTGGTATTCTGAGCATGACGCCCCATCCACTGTTGCCTGGCCAACATTGTCTGAATTCAGGGTATTTGCTAGTGAAGGAGTTGAACACTATCTCAGGTAGCCACTGTAATTTTGATCAGTTCTATCCACCATGTTGCATATTCTAATGCTACTTTGCACCTTGAATTGTTGTTGCGGCTGGTGCTTCTTCTGTGATGAAGCCATAAATTAAGTGTAGAACAAATTACATTTTTACACAAAATATTTAAGTTAGTTATGTAGATGTAGCCTGAACTGCTGTACATGGTTTGATGCAGAGAGCTGTTAATTCCAATTACCATGTAACTTAAAGATTCAGTGTGTAAGATTTAGGTGAAAGGGATCTATTGGAAGAAATTGAATATCAAATAATCCTAGTGTTTTCACTAGTGTGTTTCATATAAATTGTATTAATCTTCACCCTAGAATAGGCCCTTTGTATTTAAGTACTTTATATTAACATCAGGAGCAGTTCCTCTCTATGGAGGCCACCATGTTTTTTACAGAAGTCCAGACTGGACAAACAAAACATCTTTTGAGCTTTTTGAGACAACTGAAGGCTACCACAGGTTCTCCTTCTTGTTTCGAAGGGTAGGGTGAGGTGAGGGGTATTCATCTGCAACATGCACCTAGAGATGTCACTAAATTCTACACACTGAGCCTTTAAGTATGAAAGATGACTAGAGTGACAGTGTCAGTAACAAAACAAGGACACTGGACAAGAGATTGAATGAAATTAGCTAACTGTAAAAAATGAGAGAAAACATTTGAACATAGAAAGAGGCTGCAATCTCCCCGCATATACATATATAAAAAAGTGATCAAAAAGCAATACATACAAAATAACAATACTAAGCCAGTTTCATGAAAACTGAGCCAACAACTCCATCCGCTAATGGAGACAATGAGAGGTCACTGCCCTGGAAAAAACTGGAGAGAGGACAGTACTGGCTTCAAAGCAGATTATTTCAATAAACTACTATTCCTGAGGACAAGATTTAAATTAAATGCCCCAAAACACCATTTCTTTACAAACCTATCTTACAATCAATGAGCAGTGGTCTGATCACAGCTCAGGAGATTACTGTTCTGTAGATGTGCCTTGTACTTTGTCATAGGAACTCACCTTGAGTTCCGCAATTTTGCTTTCTCTGGTGCTGAACTCTCGTAGCATGTAATTCTTTCCAGCCTGGAAACAAAAAAAGGATAATAGTAGGTGTGGTATAACTTCTTCCACATGTGCATTTTTTGACTAGCTCATTATGTAACCCTGCACTGAACCATATCCTGGCTAAAGGAAACCAACTTGCCTCGTGATACAGTCGAGTGTCATTTATTCTTATCAGCACTCCATCCACACGTAGGAAGAAACGCAGCAACAGGAAGAAACTTGTGGGCATCACCCTCTGCATTGTCAAGACAAACAGATTTTTAGTATGAATTTGCATGGGTGTTTCCTAAAAAAAAAGTGGAGGTGGACTCTAAGTGAAAAGGCCCTGAATGAATGAAAGCTAAAAAGGTTACTGAAATAGTAATAAGCTTTGATTAAATCAAGTAAATGCTTCACTCAAATCGGTTTTCCTCAAATGTTAGGAAATCCAGACCTCATTTTGATCAATAGTATTTGCTGTTTGACATCAAGTCACCACTCACAATTTTTACACTGATCATTGACACTCCGTGGTCATGCAGCTCATCCTCAAACAGCAACACGTCATCAAAGAACATGATCTGTTCCCGGGCCTTCAATTTCTCCATATCGATACGCTCTGCTGTCTCAGTCACCTTCAGAGGTGCAACAGGTACAAATTTAACGCAGACAAAAAGCAGTGCTGCTTAAAGACAGGAAATCCCACTCCATATTTCTGAGACTATTAAAAATTAACATTACAAAAGATGTTTTTGTGTTCCTTTCCATTAATTAAAATTATCCCATACCTTTATCTGCATATCTTCTCCTATTAGAGTGCCTCTGTAGTCTGTGGTGTATGTCCAGTCATAAGGTCTCACCACCTCTTTTGAGTGTTCAGAATCAGCTCTGGAATGAGATCACAGCGATTCGTGTTAACAATGCAGATGAGATACTTGGAATCAGCTGCTTTACTTATTTCTTCAACAAAAAGTCATCTTCACTTTTCATCTTCAATGTTAACAAAGCAATTATTAAGCTACTTTCTTTTGTGTCACACGGCCATGCTTCTCTTGCCTGCTTTCCTGCCATTCCTGAGCACAGGCCACCTTGACAGCATCCTCCATGTTGTTTACTCTCTTTAGGGCATCAATGGCGTTGAATCCAATGCCGTAGCCATCTATGTGTTGGATACGTAACAAGTTGTCCCCAAACAGCATCTCTGGAAGGGAAGGCATGTTCATCTCTTCTGCTAACCTGGGAAGGCAAACAGAAAACAGCTGTTCTCCCTACGAGTAACACTGCAACAATGATTCTTACTTCAGTTCAGGATTGAATCCTACCTAAGGCACAAGGCTTGTTAGTTTTCTAAACTATCATTTATCTTGGTGTCAATAATTGTATCCTCTATGGCAAGCCGTTTGAGCATTTATTCCATATCCTTGATATTACATGTTATTCCCCTCCACTAGTTTGCTCTTTGTCAGCACTAGTTGAACATTTGGTTGCACTAGTTCAGCATCTTTTCATACATGTTGAACAAAAACTCTTACTAGTCACTCTATTTCAGCAACTAGTGGCACTTTTGTCCAACTAGTTCCAACAGCAACCTTACTAGTAACAATATGTGCCGCATTAGCGGCATCAAAGTCCCTGCTAGTCGGCTTTTTGACACACAAGTGGCCCTCTGGACGGAACTAGTAAACTAGGCACTGCAAAAGCTCTGACATGTAAGCTAGTCAAACATGGATTCAGCTCACTAACTAGTGACCTACAATTTTCTGCACTAGCTTACTAATGCGAGCCAAAATGCACACTAGTTAACTAGTTAAAGCCTTTTTTTACCTTAATAGTTAACCACTGAGACTAAAAATGTTTACTAGTGAGGTCCAAATATCCACTAGTTACACCAGTCTGAGCCATTTTGACTTCACAAGTTCAACTAGCAAGGGATACTAACATCTAGTCCTACATAAAAACCTTACACCATTTAAGAGGAACACAACAAAAAGAAAATTGTGATTCCAATTTTTTCCAAAACCTGTCGCCGTTGCTGCTGAAAAATCCTATAGGAAACACTGTATTGTGAATACTGACCAGCATCAACCACTGTGTTTTTTAAATTTTGACATTATGGGATATTGAGTGTGTATGGATGTGTAAAAATTACAATTTAATCAATTTAAAAATAAATCAAAAATAACAATGTGACCAAAAAGTACAAATACTGAATGAATACTAAATACTAAGTTAATACGAATAAAGCATTGGGAACATCTCACCTTTCAATGTCTTTGGATTTCATGATGTGATTTTTGGCAGCGGTCACTTTCCATTGGCCAAAGGTAAAGTCCTGCTTACTGCTCTTGAAACCATGTGACATCATCGTGGACAGAGTGGCCAGCATTGACTACATGAGAGATCATCAACAGGTTTTTCAAACAGACTGGACTAACAAAGGGTATAATCAGATTTGATATTCAGTCAGGCTTGATTTATGTTTTGTTTGTCAGTTTTTGATAGTGTGCTGCATTACAAACTGCAAATATATGTTTCACATATACACTGCTCAAAACAATAAAGGGAACACTTAAATCACACATTGAATCTCAATAAAAAAAAAATATATATATACACTGCTCAAAAAAATTAAAGGAACACTTTGAAAACACATCAGATCTCATTGTGAAAACAAATTATGTTGGATATTTATACTGATATGGAAAGTTTAATGTCTTAGGAACAAAAGGATGCCACATCTTTGATAGAAATAAAAGTTTTCAGCCTACAGAGGGCTCAATTTTATAGACACCCTGAAAATCATAGTGAAAAAGTGATGTGGCAGGCTTGTCCATTTTGCCAAAATTCAATTTCTGCAACTCAAAATGCTTCTCAATATCTTGTGTGGCCCCCACGTGCTTGTATGCATGCTTGACAACGTAGCGGCATGCTCCTAATGAGACAACGGATGGTGTCTTGTGGGATGTCCTCCCAGATCTGTCTAAGGGCATCAGTGAGCTCCTGTAAAGTCTGAGGAGCAACCTGACGGCGTCTGATGGACCGAAACATAATGTCCCAGAGGTGTTCTATCGGGTTTAGGTCAGGTGATCGTGAGGGCCATTCAATTGCGTCAATTTCTTCATCCTCCAGGTACTGCCTGCATACCCTTGCCACATGAGGCCGGGTATTATCGTGCATCAGGAGGAACCCAGGACCTACTGCACCAGCATAGGGTCTGACCATGGGATCAAGGATTTCATCCCAATACCTAATGGCAGTAAGACTGCCGTTCTCTAGCCTGTAGAGGTCTGTGCGTCCCTCCATGGATATGCCTCCCCAGACCATCACTGACCCACCACCAAACCTGTCATGCTGAACGATGGTGCAGGCAGCATAGCGTTCTCCTTGGCTTCTCCAGACCCTTTCACGTCTATCACAGGTGCTCAGGGTGAACCTGCTCTCATCTGTGAAAGCACAGGGCGCCAGTGGCGGACACGCCAATTCTGGTGTTCTATAGCAAATGCCAATCGAGCTCCACGGTGCTGGGCTGTGTGCACAGGGCACACTACAGGACGTCGCACCCTGAGGCCACCCTCATGAAGTCTGTTTATGACTGTTTGGGCAGAGACATTCACACCAGTGGCCTGCTGGAGGTCATTCTATAGGGCTTGGGCAGTGCTCAACCTGTTCCTCCTTGCACAAAGCAGCAGATATCGGTCCTGCTGATGGGTTGAGGACCTTCTACGGCCCTGTCCAGCTCTCCTAGAGTAACTGCCTGTCTCCTGGAATCTCCTCCATGTTCTGGAGATTATGCTGGGAGACACATCAAATCTCCTTGCAACGGCACGCATGGATGTGCCATCCTGGAGGAGTTGGACAATCTGTGCAACTTCTGTAGGGTTAAGAAATCGCCTCATGCTCCCAGTAGAGATAATGACTCTAGCTAAAGCCAACACTAATGGAAAACCAGTCTAAGTGATCAAGAGGGAGAAACTTGAAATGGCCTCCACATGCAAAACCACTCCTATTTTTGGGGTCGTCTCATTGTTGCCCCTCTAGTGCACCTGTTGTTAATTCCATCAACACCAATGCAGTTGAAACTGATTAACAACCCCCTCTGCTACTTAACTGACCAGATAATTATCAAAAAAGTGCAATTGAATTCATGCCATACCCTGATAAAAAAGTGTTCCTTTAATTTTTTGAGCAGTGTATATATATATATTCATGTTGAAAATCTTTAATGAAAAACATTGTGTAATTCATTGACAACAAAATAACGTAAGAAGGTTCAATGAAAACAAAAATCACTGACCCCTTGATATCAATTTATTAATGCATGAGTGGAACCAATATCGCTCCTTACATCTGATCCCAGAACACCATGTGTCTCATTTAATGGTAAATGGTCAGTATTTATATATAGCTTTTCTAGTCTTGATGACCAGTCAAATCGCTTTACAGTGCAGTTTTAGATTCACCCATTCACACACATTCATACAGTGCATCTATAGGCAGTACTTTTTTCTATGAGAGGCCATTCGAGGTTCAGTATCTTGCCCAAGGACACTTCGGCATGCAGATGAGGAAGACATTACATGTAGGAAGACTGGGATAGAACCTGTAATAATATGCACAAGATGACATTGACTAGGAGATATAATAATAAAATAGGAGAATATTAATATTACAATCTTCTGGTTGGAGGATGACCACTATTACCCTCAGCCACAGCCGCCCCTCACTAAGGATCTGATGTTTCCTGTCTACATTTTTTTTGAGATGCCAGTTCTAGTTTAAGTCGCTGCATCTATTGTTTGTCATTTTTATGGCTGACCATACCCCATTGACAAAGGTTGGAGCTTTTCAAGCAGAGGGGACAGCAGCATTTTCTGGACTCAGCAACACATTGATGATGATAGTCTGGCAGCCTGGTAACCATCACCATTACTGCCTACGTTTATTTTTATTTTATTTTTATATTTTTTATATTTTAAGTTTCATGCTATTCTTGCACTGTTTCCAATTATTAAATACATTATCCTATTATCCCTCTGGATCAATAAAGGATGTATCCATCTATTTATTTATAAAACAGTGCATAGGATTATAAGTGTATGTGCAAACAAAAAACTAAAATGGCACATGCAAAACAATAATCAGATGCATAAAACTGTGTGCCTGCACACCTGGACACAATGATATCCTAGGTTGGACTTTGGGATACCACTGATGGTAATGATGAATTTGGCAAGGTGTGAAGTTATCAGTCTGATTGCTATAGATATGCAACACTTTACAGTATGCATTTTCTTTTTCTTTCTTCACCTCCACCTCACTCACAATATCAATGTCAGCAAATGTGCAATTCTTTTCACTTGATTCATAATGAACCATGAGGTGCTTTGCAGTGACCATTTATGGTTGAATGTGGGTATGAAGAAGCAGGGATATGAGGCAGATCCACATGTGCATGTTTCTGGACTGTGATTTATGAAGAGAATACTGCTGTCAGGTGTGTACGCCATTATTGGCTTTTGTGCACATGTACAGCTTTCATACGAATGTTACGTGTGGTTTTAAAATGAGGGTATCTCAGGTATCTTGCTCATAATATGTTAGAATGGGTTTAAACTAGACAGAAAAATGTACTCTCAATGCTCTCACGTAATCTTGTCCACCATGAACCAGTGCTGCCTCACTTTTGTAAGATACCCGTCAGTAACACTGGTCCACCTCAAAACTTTGGTTACTTAGTATCGTTAATCCAGCATATATTAAATTTGACCATAATCAAACTTTCGAATAGCTTGGCTGCTGGTTTAAAACCAGCAAACATATATTGTTGTACTAATGCAAACGTTTAACCATTAGGAGCGACTGGAAATGTATTTCCACTTGAGCACGAAGAGAAGGGATGTGTATGAACGTTTCCAGTTGCAGCAAACTTTACTTTGTCAAAGGATTGTACCGTTCATGTACAGTCACAGCTCTGCTTCACTGCACATCATCACATTTAATACAGTCGGTAATGTTGAGAGAACACTGAAGACCGCAAAACTGTTTGCAGCAATATAGATATACAGAAATAAATCAGTTTACCTCGGTATTGTTGTCAATTGTGTCATACATCCATGTCATGGAGGTTACTTGGTCCGCCCTAGAAGAACGTCCGGTCGTTATTGCTACGCTTGATCGATGGTTCCGCCACTTCCTCCCTGTCAGTTGCGCAAACCTGAGGTGCTTTAGGAAAGTCAAAATAACTTTCCCAACCACTATTCCTCGACCCTGATGGAAAGCGTCACAAGGAAAAGATGTGAAGGAGACGTCGTGAAGAGTTACGAAAAGAGAACCACTGTGCAGAGAAAAATCCGACTCCATTTACACTCGGAATAAAAAAAAACCCGTATAATTTAATATATATATATAAATTATACAGTTTGGGACAGGCGTTTAATTTCTTCCTCACAAAATCCTTCTGGGCAATAGTTGTACATCTCCTGCAAGTGAAGTTGTTGCGGCGGAGGAAACGGTTTAGTCAACCAGCACTCGCGGCAAACTCCTCATCTCTGCTGTGGCTCACGGTGGCATACATTTGTTTCGCCATCACCCTGCTCATTTTGCGGGACACTCTCTCGTGGCTTGCCCGTTTGTTGATAACCCATTCCCGCATGTTTATTTCAAGCTCCTCGCTAGCCTTCTTCCTACCTCCACCAGGCAGCCTGGCTCTTTTGCTGTCCTCCTCGGACAGACGCTGAAGCTCAGTTTTATTTTTTCGTCAATCTCTCACTGTTTTGGGGTTGACAGAGAAACGTGTAGCGGCTGCTTCCCCGAGTTTTTCCTCTGCATATTTTACGACAGAAAGTTTTAATTTCAAGTCGTATTTTTTGTTTTTTGCTGCACCGGAGCCATGGCGATAATCAGAAAGCAAGCACAATACGTGAAAAAGGCGAAGAAACATGCAGTGTCAGTGGTAAATGGTTGTATTTATATAGCGCTTTATACTACAGTTTTCCATTCACCCACACAGTGTGACACACAGACACTTTGGCATGCAGATGGGATTGAACTTCCTTCTGGTTGGAGGACGACCGCTCTACCCCCTCAGCCACGGCTAATATTTGGCAATTTAAGGTATATTATATAGAGGAGACATGAGACTTTTATTTTTTAGAGACTTGAGACTTGACTTGGACTCGTGACCAAAGACTTGAGACTTGACTTGGACTTGCAAAAAACAGACTTGTGAACATCTCTGATACCCAGTCTCTATTAGAGAGAATCAGGGAGAGAATAAAACGTAGCAGCTGCTACGTCACCAATTCCCGCCCCTGAGCCCCCGGCACTAAGCCCCTCCCCTGCTTAGCGGAAGTCCCACCCCAACCAATGAGAAGTCTGGACACTCTTAATCTGGACACCCCCCCCCTCTCTTTTTGTAATCGTACTCTCTGTGGCGCCTGTCATCTGCCTCAGAGGTTGAATACAACAAACAGTTGAGTTGAACTTAGTGGTATCAGAGTTTGTGTGGATTTGCAACTTCGGGTGCATGTGCATGTACTGCTTTACTGGAGGGCTTCTTGTTTCAGATGATATTGTTATGTTATATTGATATTGTTATGGTCTGTAATCTGATTTGGGATGAACAACTAATGGTTTTGCGTTTTTCATCAATCCATCAATCCATCAATACATCATTGTGGTGGTAGACTATTCCACGGGGCTCTCACCACGACAGCCAGAGACAAACCAGTCAAACCATTTGTGGCTCAGCAACATCTTTATTTAAACTTTAACAGAAACTCACAAAAACACTGAACATAAAGGGTCCAGCACTTTCTGCTGGACCTCTGGTTTCGCAGCTTAGTCTCTTCCCTCGTGAGTGTCCTGAGGCAGCTCCGCTGCTGCCCTTTCAAGCATGAGGATCAATCAGCTAACAGCTCTCACCCGGCTGACTGATCCTCTGTGGTGCAGGTGAAGGTGCTCTCCTAGCCCCTTCACCTCCACAATCATATTTGTGTTTAGCTCATAATTTTGATGGGACCTCTTTCGAATTGTGATTTGCCGTCTTTCACTAACTTAACTATACTATGCCAATAATTGTGGAAGTTAATGCAATTAATGCAGTCTTGCTGTATTCTGTTCAGGGATCCCCCTCAACTGGTTGGAAATCTCTCAGACTCAACCGCTGCTCCAGCCACAGACCCAAATCCTGCCATTTCCAACCCACTGGTTTTCCAAGTAACACAGGAGTTTCTCCAGTAAACACTGTATTGGAAATGTGTCTTTTGTGTATGTATAATTGCATGGGCAGACGTGTATGTGGAGGACTGACCTAATTGTTTATCTAAAAGGGCAACTTTAGGGTTTACGATGATGGCTTAAGAGACTTTAGTTTTATGGCCTCGAGAAACCACAACTTTATGGCATCTCGTGGTATCTCTGGTTGGGATCTCACATCTGGGATCTCACAGGGTGATCATCCACAGAAGGACAGGATGTCTATATCTTGTTGTATATAGACAGCTTCTCCCAGATGAACCCTGATCAGCTAACTTTAATTATCTCATCTTATAAACCAGCAATTTTTCTTTTAGACCCCATTTGAAAAAAGCTAATCAAACAAATTCTCCTCTTAAGCAAGCTATAATTAAAGGTTTAAGCCAACTACAGACCAATATCCAACCTCCCCTTTCTTTCTAAAATCTTTGTGAAAGTTGTTGCTAATCAGCTGTGTGACTCTCTCCAGAACAACGATATGAAGACTATCAGAAAGGTTATAGAGTCCATCACAGCACTGAGGCAGCTTTAGCAAAAGTCACAAGTTAACTTTCCATAGCTTGGCATAAAGGGTTGTCCTGTCCTTGTCTTTGAACAAATTAAAGATGTGTCTTCTCTGCGTACCAAGGTAAATTACTGATTTCTTCAGGGTTCTGTTCTGATATGAATTGTATTGACCTGATATATATATATATATATGGCCCTTAACACTTCAGCTATGCATTATCTAATGATATAGCTCCTCTGGATGGCATCGCCCTTGCTTCCAGGTATCTTTGATCTAGACTTGTCCTATTATTCACATTTTAAATGTTTTTACAGAGTGCTTTTTCCCTCGATGGAACATCAGAAAAGTCAGGCACATCCTGTTTCAAAAATATGCTGAAAAGTTCAGTTAATTTCCTGACTTCTTCCCCAGAGTCCTGTCTTTGAGAAACTACCTGTTTCCACGGACTAATTGCACTTCACAATGCAGTTCACCACCTCAGAGTCTCACTCTAACAATATTAGAACAGTCTGATGTAGAATATCAAAGTAAAAGTATCATATTTTCACTGTTTTGGTTGTGGCAAGAGAGAGGGAGATTCTTATGGCACTTGACAAAAATTATCTCATTGAAAAGATAGCAGAGGGCAGTGAGTTACTGCGCCACCTACTTGTTAACTTTACTGGTAACTAGTACATCTACAAATAGGGATTGCCTACAAAATTAGAGGTCTTGTGCATTGCATGAAAATGGTGGCCAGGAATTAGTCAAATTCCCCGCCTGAATTATTGGCCCAGTCTTCCCCTGTTCAGGGCCAAGAACAATGACTCAAAAACGTACGTCTGAATTCAAAAGTAAAAATGTACAGGTCATCCAGGCCTTTGTCTTTTCAGTTTCATCTGGCTTCATAGATAAGTACAGGTGGGTGTCATCTACAAAACAATAGAAATGTATTTGATGCATTCTGATAATATTGCCTAAAGGAAGCATATACCAAGTGAATAGTATCAGTACCAGTACATAACCTTGAGGAACTCCACAACTAACTTTTGTGTGCAAATATTCTGTGTCATTGTTCATTTTAACAAATTAGAATCTGTCTGTAAGTACTCATTAGTTAGCTAAAATATCTGGGACAAGATGAGGCTTTTTACACAGAGGTTTAATACTGCTACCTTACAAGCCTACAGTACAAAGCCGGTTAATAGATATATTAATCTAATTTTATATGGAACTGTTACTCACAGGTAAAACTTCCTTAAAAACGTCTAGTTGGAATAGGATCTAATAGACAGGTTGATGGTGTGGATGAAGATACCAGAAAAGTCGGCTCAGACAAATCTATGTCAGATAAGTGGTCTAAAAATAAATCTGGTGCTACAGTTGGTTGTAAGGTTTCTGATCTGGACAGGGGGTCTGTTCTATGTGTGTGATTATTATTTTCTCTCTGTTGTCACACTGCAGTGCTCTTACTCCATAGAGGCCCTCAAAATATAAGCAGTATCAGTAATAGATGTGTGGATCCTCTCGAAATCGAGAAGTGACCTCTCAGATATATTAGTTTACCTAAGGAAAGGGTTGGGATTGTGTTGGTTCTGAACTGCTGGATAATGAGTGAAGGTCAAATGAAGCCTTATGGGTGGACAGGGAGCTTGATCATTAAAAATGAGGCCCACTTTGACCTGTCTCTATAGTTGTGAAATAACATTGACTTAAGCCTAGTTTATGCCTCTGCGTCACGTCAACGACGTACCTACGCCGTAGCCTGATGAGCACCTCCAAAAAATCCTAACTACGCGTCGCATTGATGCGGACCGCAAGCGCTGTGATTGGTCCGCTCATAACGTAAGTTCCGGCAGTTGCTTTTTCTTCCTTGTCGTACAGACCACCTCCGCAAACGTCTTCTCTGTCACCTGCGCTTCAACATTTGCAATATAAGCATTTGTTCTTCAATATTGATGAGCTCCAACTCCAAAAACAGCGGCTCCACCTCGGTCGCCATTGTTTACTGTTGTTTACTTTACGGAAGAAAAAGCAAGGATTCGGCTATAGCGCCAGAAACCACACAAACACACAGCCACACCCCCTAGCGGCATGGCGGTGAATTGCAGAGTAACGCGTTCCCTCGACGCAGGACTTCGAATG